TTCATAGACAATATTATTGTCGTGTTTCAGTCAAGAATGCATTGGCTGTTTGAACTCATTTTAAACACTTGCATATTTAATGATCTAACATATCATAAATTGAGTACTACTCTTAACACTGCTGTGCTGTCTTTATATAATTAAAATATTAAAGTTTCAAATCGTGCTACTAAACCTGTCCCTTCAGGCAAAAAAATCTTCGATAAGTTGCTACCGTTAAAGCGCGGTAAGCGGTCGCCCTTCCAACCCCTTCACTTATTCTTCGCAGCTTTTTCAGCCCTCAGCACCCTATCGAGACGTCTTTGATTTGACACCGATTAGATCCTAGGAATAATAAAGTGATAATATTTCACAGCTTGGATTCGTTCTTAAAGGTGGTCTTGGACCTATTCATGTGTGAGTTCTACACATGTGGTTTTTTATTATTTATTTTCTGATTCAGATTGTTTTGCTCTCCGCGTAACGTGTTAGGGTTGAATCCTGATTGCAGATAACGGGGTTTGGTTTTTGTTTGATTTTTGTACTGTTATTTGTTAACAAGGCAAATGTACGGTAGATAAAGAAAGATTTCTTCTGCTTTTTGTACCCATGCAAAATAATAATTTTAAATCTGATGTTCGTTAGATAGTCATAGCTAATCTTCTTTTAGACTTTTTTTGTTGTTTTTTAGGTATGTAGTAGATCCATTTCTGTGGATTAGGGTATATAAACTTTTAGACGCTTGTAAGGAAAAACAATTATAGTTAACGAAAGTAAAGTTTCAAGTCAATTGAGACTTTTGGTTACCCGGTCTTTTGTAGAATTATTTTGCCAGATATAAGTGCAGTTTGAAGAAAGTTTCCAAGCACGTTTCAATTTAACTTCTAATAAAAGTTGGTATATTTCAATTATGGAAATTTAGCATAACTGTTATTACTATAATATTACATATCAGTTTACATAAACATAAGAGAGTGAAATGAAATTAAGAAGCTATTATCGTTTCGTAATCCACCTAAGTAATACATAAACACAAAGCTCTAGTTATTTGCAGGGAAAAAATTGAAAGAAGTGACAACATTTGTTTAAACATTTTTAAAGAAAGAAAACTGTATAAATTTTAATTTTGCTATTAGAAACAAAACAGAAATTGCATGAGGTTAAACGAATCCGAGCGATGAAAATATTAGTTATGTAAAGAAAGCTTGTAGGTATATCAAAATCTGATTGCACCGCATATGTGAAAATGCGTTTCAGCATTATGCAATTCAATTTATTTAGACGCTTAGTTTACAATTACGTACACATCTACACTTTCACTGATCACCTGGTCTGCAAGAAAAGTTGAACAAAATGCTCTTCTAACGTTGTTCTACTATTTTTGCAAAAAGTAGCTAACATTTTCTGATAAATGCAGTATTATTTATAATTTGTCAGTAATAACTTATAATTTCTCTATATTATTTTGTAAAATTTAATATAACAAATCTAAGAAATTAGAAAATGAAGAGCATTTTGCTTCATACAGTTTAGTTTACAAGAGTGTTTCTACCACTTTTATACATATTAGTAATTAACATATTAGTAATATCGTCCAAGATTTTTCAAAAATTATTTTAGTTTACGAGAACTTTTAAAATTCGAAGTGAACGTCAAAAATTGATCAATTTATCATTAGCTCCAATATTGTGTGTCCAGCACATATCTAAAATTCCTCAGATGAACTTTCGTCTCATTTTTATTAAGTAATTTCTTTGCTGATATAAGCAACTTAAGTTTAACTATGTAACGCATTTAAATATAATTCCTTTCTGAAGAGGCAGAACACACAATAACTGATGTCTATACGGATTAAATTGTTTTGTGTGTGTGTTTTGTGAACATAATTATCGAATTTCCCTTAACAAAATGTTTGCACATATTTTATCCCTTGGGTGTTATATATTGTACATAATATAATTACACAATTTCTATACCTACACTACATTCTACTTTATAGTTAAAATATTCTTATCTTTCCTGGGTCTCAGTCAAAGTGTGAAGCAAAAATTTTGAACATCGTTTATTTCATTTTTTCAATTTATAGTTAAATTTAAATTAATAATATCAAACCAATTTCCTATGTTTTTATTTATTTTGTTCAGTTTATTATTATTATATATTTGTTAAGTTGATACAATCGAATTTGCAGCTAATATCGACGAATTTATTTAGATTTTCTATGATATATACTTATGAAATCGGTACATATAAACATTAATAAAATTAAGTAATTTTGTATCTGAATTTTAAAGGCTTGTCTCGGTTAGCAATAATATAGGGTCGGTTGATATACTAGAAATGCAAGGGATCCACCGAGATATTCAAGATATTTCGTATATCAATTATACGAATAATTTTTTGAGAAAATAAAAGTTTTCCTTTTTTGGGTTATCAACGGTTCCTGCAAAATCAGGAGTTTTATTTTACCAAGATGTATTGTAAATGTGAGCACCGCTTTGTGCAATTCAACTTCCCGAATTCGTTCCTCGAATAACACATCGATGTATAAATACATTTCCGTTGAATAAATGTATTTTGGTAATAGAATAATAATAATAAAATAATCATCATATATATATATCATCATAGTCATCGAATTCATATACGAAGTATCTGTGGTACCTCGGAAAACTTGTGAAGCGATATTAAAATATGAAATGTACTCATATTGAGTTGGCTTTGACAATTAACTACGAACTTAAGCAATAGATATAATAAGAAAATAAATATTCATAGACATAATGCTGCGCAAAGTACAAATTCATAACTGCGAATTAAAATCAATTTTAGCTTAAATGTGAACTTATAAATGCATACGGACACTCTAGTTATCTACTATGTCAATTAATGGATGATTATTAACATGTATAGACTAGGCTAAAAATATTATTGAACAGATTACTTTATGCGATAACTATAAATTATCATCGGCAGCTAAAGAACAATGTCTAGAGATGAGCAAATGCTGCATTACCAGTAGTCGAAACTGATTGGTTGGGCAATGTTTCTGATTATATTTTTTGCCGATTGAACTTTTGAATAATTCAAAAGATGTTTTAAATAATGACGAGTCGGCTAGGTTTTCCTCAAAGAAAGTGCTGTTAAGTTGATGGCCTAACATAACTCTATCAATACAAAAAGCATCATTAAGAATTTACCCATTAAACATTTACTAGGTTTGCAAAATGTTGCTTGTATGTTTTTAAGAGAAGGAATATGTTAGAAAATAATAATGAAATGAATGAAACCACTGCATTTCAATGAAGCTTTTTCTGTTTTACTAATATTTTAATATTAGTAGCTCTACTCCCATTCCGTTTTACCGAATAATAAGTAGTTTTTAGCTTCTGACCGTATCGTACCAACAGTCAAAATTTATGCACCCCCCAGTTGGGTGAATTTAAATAAATAGATGCACTTAAAGGTCATCAGTATATTGTGATCGTCAAGCGTGGAGGCGAGCGATCAACACATTTAAATAATTTTTAATTTATCCCTTTGAGTTTACCGGAGGACGAAACAGTTTCGCACATGCAACAAATAATCCAGTAGCGTAGAATAGGGAACAACTTTAGAAGAAAAATACGAAACATTTATAAATTAAAAAAGATTTTGTTTTTTAATATTTATTACCACTAAAACCAGTATTACTAGAAAATTTGGGATCTAGAACAGTTTGCAAATAAAAAAACGGGATGTCAGATATAAGCACTTCCTTTGCTATATATGCTGCCACGATACTTATAAAATAAAAATACAATATCAAAAGCAACCTGAAAAAATGTTTAAAAGAGCTGAAATGAAAATCAGATGCCTCGAATGCCGCGTAATTTTTTACTTTTGTGTGGTCCCATTTCTTTTAAACCACTAGTAATATTTTACATGAAGAAAATGCGTAACAACGGAAATATAAAAGCCTTCAGCCGTTTTAGTTGATGTCTTAAAGTTATTATAATTTATCAGCAGTTAATAATACGTTTGGACAGTTTAAATTTTCATTCAAAACAGTTTAGAACTATTTTTCACTTTTAACTACTTTATAATCCTAAGGCTGGTATGCACAGTCGATCTCTTACGATGCGCCGGCCTCCCGACGTTCGGTGGAGGCAATTTTGGTTGCACAGCCGATCGGTTGAGTATCTGACGCACGCGGAATTTAATGTTGTTGAGCGATGCGGTGAGAGTTTGCCGGAGATAGGTGTAGCCATCTCCGAACGATTGTCAAAGCTATTTTGTGAGCAAAAGTTCTCAACTTCTCGTGTTTTTATCCTTATTTTGTTTTAAATATATAGATAACGATCTCGACGATTCGTACAGTGTTAATCGAGATAATTCGGACTTGGAATTAGATTTGAACATTCCACAAAGGTACGTAAAGAAAACATCAACAGGCGTGATATTAAATTCAAATAAGAATTGTATCATTTTCAGGTATATTCGAGATATGGAAAATACTTTAAGAAAATTTACTGAAGCTGAATTTAGAAAACGCTTTCGTTTCTCAAAGGAAATTGTGCAAAATATTTTGTTGCCATTAATCAATCACCAGCAACAAATCACAAATCGAGGCCTTCCGGTTCTTTTAATAATAGATTTGTTTAATCAATTTTATTGTCAGTCC